TATTGTCTTTTTAATTTTAACCCCCCTATTTGGGGTAAAATGGTATCTCGTTGTGATTTTGATTTGCATTTCCCTAATGACCCTCTGTATTTTTGAACCCTGAGGCTTCCCTAAATTTTTCCTGGGCTCAAAAATGCATTTAAAGTATGTTTGCTATATTTTGCCTAGCATTTCTAGCAGAAAATTCTATATTATCTAGTGTACTAGTGTAGTGTACTAGTGTATCTATCTATTTCTTTGTCAGTTATTACATTTAGAATTATGCTTGCACGGAGAAAGTATTCTATAAATGCCTTCTAACTGATAGGCATCAAATAAAGTATTCATGATCAATTCAGCCAATCCAATTCAATCATTCATTTACTATTTCCACATTTATTAGATATCTATTTTATGTCCTATGCGATTCTAAGTACTTGAAATACATCAGTGACTAAGTCAATCAATGCTCCCGCCCTCTAAAAGCTTGTATTTTAATGGGGGAGACATACAGCTCCCCCAGAAAAGTATATAACCATATAAATGATAACTATCTATAAGATGGATGTTATTAAATAAATAGGGTAATATAATTGACATTAGAGAACAGAGAGAGGGGTGGGAGGAGCTACGTTAGATATGATTAGTATGGAATGTATTAGCATGGACATGCTACTTGGGATGAAACCTGAAGGATCACAGGAGTCAAGTCATTCAAAGAACTGATGAGAGAGAGCATTACAGGCAGAGAAGATAGCCTGTAACAAAGTCTTTAGCCAGAAACAAGCCTAGGACAATTAATTAAGAGAAAGAAAACCAACGTGGCTGAAGCATAGTGGATAGAGGGAGTGCATATACAATGAAGAGGGAGAAGTAGAGAGTAGTGTGCCCACCTAAGTGTGGCAGGCTGAATAATGGTCCCCCAAAGATGTCTATGTCCTAACACCCAGAACCTGTAAATGTGACCTTAAATGGCAAAAGGGACTGTCCAGATTTGGTTATGTTAAGGATTTCGAGATGGAAAGACTAAGCTGGATTATCCAGGTGGATCCAGAGTAATCACAGGGTCCTGAGAAGAGGGAGGCAGGCAATGGAGTGAGTAGTAGAAGGAGACAGGACAAGGGGATCACTGGAGTGACACTCTTTGAAGATGGGGAAAGGGGCTATGGAATGCAGGTGGCCTCTACAAGACAGAAAAGATGAGGAAACAGATTCTCTCCATGAGGCCTCCAGAAGAAAAGCCTGACTTTAGCCCAGTGAAACTGACTTCAGACTTCTGGCTTCCAAAATGTAAGAGAACAAATTTGTATTGTTTTAAGCTACTAAGCTTGTGGTAATCTGTTACAACAGCCATAGGAAACTAGTACATATTTTGGCACACCTGGAAGGGGGGTGCTGTAACAATTACCTAAAATGTGGAAGTGGCTTTGGAATTAGATAATGGGTAGAAGCTTGAAGAATTTTGAGGAGCATGACAGAAACAGCCTAAATATCCTTGAACAGCCTTGTAGTAGAAATATGGATGTTAATGATTCTGCTAGTGAGGATTACGAAGGAAATTTGAAACATGGTAGAGAAAAACTATATCATCTTATATTTAGAATACCGAATAGCTAAATTGTCATAAACAGACCACTGGTAAAAATAAAGATGTTACAGGTGCTGCTGTGAAGGCTCAGAAGGAAATGAGAAACACATTATTAGAAACTGGAGGAAAGGGGATCATGCAATAGAGGGGCAGACAGCTTAGCTAAATTGTGTCCTACAGTTATATGGAAAGCAGAACTTATAAATGATAAACCTGGGCATTTAGCTGAGATTTCCAGCCTGCTTATAGTAAAACATGAGAGAAAAGAGATAAATTAAGGGAAAAAACTGTTAAGCAGAAAGGAACCAGGACTTGAGGATTTGGAAAATTCTCAGCCTATCCAGACTGTAAGTGATGCTACAATTAGAAGACTCACTGTCAAGAAAGCATGCTCCAGAGAGAAAGTCAAGGGTATGGTTAGACAATATTTCGCTAGTGATTAAAAATGAACAAAATGACATAGTGTTCAGTGACACAGAGGGCTCTTTGAAGAGATTAGACATTTGACTAACGGATCCCCTCAGCCATTTCAGCAGAAGCTGAAAAACAGAGATGGGATTATCTAAGAAAGATCGGTAGAGGAGCCTCTTGACTAATGAATGAATTTCTGTGATGTACTGAGCATACTCACAAGGTTTTCGAGAACTAGCAGAAATACTGCCAGCTTAGACTGAAAGGGACAAGGGAGAATGAGATGAAAGAAAGCTGTTAGACTGCCAAAATTCTACAGGTAGAATATAGGCTAACTACCCAGATGCAAATATGCACACCTTTAGTGAAAAAGGAAGAACGACTCCAAGGGCAGAGTCTTAAACCCAGAGTGTAGAGCCTCAGGCCTCAAGGCCAAAAGCCACAGAGTATTATTCCCAGGCCTTGCAACCTAGTAGATTTTGCCCAATTGAATTTTTTTTAACTTTTTAATTTCTATTTTTTGGGGGGCAGCTGGCAGGTACAAGGATCTGAACCCTTGCACTCAGTGTTATAACTCTGCGCTCTAACCAACTGAACTAACCAGTCAGCACCTTCAGCTGAATTTTAAAATTGCTCAGGACCAGTGACTCCGTTCTTCTTTCTCACTTTTGTGATGGGAATGCCTATAGCTATTGTCCTATGCCTGTCCCACCATTGTACCTTTGGAGCAGATAACGTGTCTTCTAGTTTCCCAGGTCTACAAATGGAAAGGAATTTTGAACCAGGAAGGATTATACCCAGAGTTTCACCCACAGGTGATGAAAATAATTTAGATGATGATAAGTTTGAGCTGATGATCCATATACGACATTTTGGATTCTCGGTTGATGCTATAACGTAGGGCTTTGTAGATCAGTGAGATACTTTGATATTATTCCATGTATAATGGAAATCCACAGAATTCCAACCAGCAAAGTGATATGGCCTGATTTACATTTTTAAAAGTCACTAATACTGTGAGGAGGTAAGAGCAGAAGTAGGAAAACCAATTAGAAAACTATTGCAGTGGTCTAGGCAAAAGAGGATAGAGACTCCGACTATGATGGCAGCAGCAGCATGGAAAAAAAATTAAATGGATACAAAATATATTTTTCAGGTAGAAGACAGAACTTACAAATAAATTAAAAGTGGGAGATTAAAAAAATGAGAGAAATATAGGATGATTCTTAAGTTAGGACTTGAGCAGTGGGTAGACAGTTGTATTTATTAGCTGACATGGGGAAGACTGAGGAAGGAACAGGCTCATGTGAGAAAATCAAGACTTGCATTTTAAATATGTCAAGATGTTATTCTAATAGACATCCAGATAGAAATATCAAGTAAGTAGTTTGATAAAAGAGCAAGGAGCTCAAAGACAGCCCAGAGCTGGACCTATACATTCATGTGGCATTTAATACAACATAGCTAGAGAAAACCAGAGGGAAAAGATGGAAAAATGAAGCAAGCCCAGGATGAAAGTCTGGTACATTCGACATTTAGAAGTCTGACAGAGAAGGCAGAGCCAGACGGGGAAAAAGAAATTAAGTATGATATCAGGGATGTCATTTTATCAGAATCACTGATACTAATTACAATTATTCTACTTTACATAACTTTCATATGCTCTACTCTGTGAAAGTCCAGCTTAAAATGCAAAAGCTTTAGCCCTAAGCATTAATTGTGAAAATACTGAAATATCTACGAAACATCCACTAGAATAGGACACTGGGTTGAGTGCTGAGGGCATACATAGATAACAGAGATTAAGATACTCTTCTGTGAAATGGCCACAGTGGGGACACATTTTCTAAAATTCTTAATCACAGAATTAAAATTCTATGGAAAAATGGAAAGAAGTGGGAAAGCTGGACTAACATAGAGAAATCCGGGCAAGGCATACTTTCAGAACTACCTCGATAGGAACGAAAATAGCAATAGAGTATAGCAAGAAGAGCCATACTAAAAAGGTGTATTTAGATCATCACCTATCCTTATCTATGCTATTTTCTCCATTGTAGCTTTCAGTTCCCGTTGTGGCCACAAGGACCTTCTGCACATTTTAGTTTCCTTCCTCCTAGATGCCTCTATTCTTGTCTTGATTCTCTCTTCACCTGACCACAGCATTAATGGCTTTTGATTCCAACTGATCTGTACAGTGTCTTTTGCTGTCCCACCAAAAATGTTTTAGTGGGACAAGTAGTAATTATAAAATTATTTCAAACATTTTTAGTAATTGCGAATTAATATAATATAGTACAAGACTAAAAATGTTTACATATAGGAAGAAAAGAATGTATAAACCCCCCCCCCACCATTTTAGATAAGAGGCACAAATCAACGATGGTTATAGGGTGAGAATCACAATCCTAAATTTGAGATTTCAGGGAACTAACTTTAATTTCCTCCTTTGTGGTACCAGAGGAAAGGTATGCAGATATGCTACACTTTAATAAAGGAAGGAGATTGTTTTAAAATAAACAGCAATTTCAGGCAGTGACACACAGATAAACTAATATGACCATGTCAATGTCACATAAATTCTCTGAAGAAGGATTAAAAATCTTTTTCCAACTCTAAAGCTGAGGCTTTTCAGAGCTTTTAAAGACTTACTGAAAATATACTGACATTTCCCTGGCATACCAACCATACTCATGTATCACAAATACTGACACTGCTCCAAACCTCCTGAGGTGAAATATTAGGGAAGGGAATGCTGCTAGTTGGCCAGACTCAAGAGGGCCAATGAGTTTTCAAGAGAGGTGTAAGGAACAGAAAAGTGCCCCGAATTTAAAAAGAGACAACAGTTGTAAATTTATGAGGATTTCTTTCCCTGACCTCCCCAGGTATACCTTTTCCTTTCTTCACACCATTTTATAGCTTTGTGATTACTTCTAAGGAGCTGTGGGGACTCCCAAGGCTCTCCTGATTCTTCCAAATCTAATGAATACCTGATTCCTTGCCTGCCATCTGATAACTGTATTACCTTTCCTGGGACCACCTTGTTGAACCACCCAGTTGTCAGGTGGCTCCTTCTAAGGAAGCATACACAGTTGCTGATGTCAAAGGATGTTGTGGTCTTTGGACATGTTCCCGATTTGAATTTCAACCAACTCCTCACATCTCTCTGATGGGGTACAGTAATAGAACAGAAGTCAATGGGAGATCAGCACGCACTCAGATTCCAGACTCTGAAAGGGAACAAAAATCAAACCCTCCATTCTTCGCCTCTTCACCATGTCTAACAACCAATACGCTAGAAACCTGGCTTTATCAGCCCATCAAAACGAAATATAAAGTAACAACTCTCAATAACCACATAATAAGCAATATGCACTTTATTGATGCCTAAGTCTACAACACAAATAACAAATATTAATATTTATTAAATTTTATGCTTTGTAAATTCAAATTATCTGCCATCTTACTAAAATTTATTATACATTATGAAGTGTTCATTTAGTATTTAAATATCCATGCAGAAAAATAACTTACCTTTTCTAATACAGATAAGTTCATGTACTCCACAGGTTCTCTCTCCACCTGTCAAAAAAAGATGTTTACTAGAAATTAAAATCACAGAAAATAGCTTAAGTTTGACTCTTTCGAACATTTTAAATAAGCACCTAGAAATGACCTCAGAAAACAGTTTCCTCATTTTTCTTTTTAAACTTAACTAATGAATATGATACCCCGATCTTCAGAATTTTCATCAACAGCCCAGAAATTAATATCTTACAAAGTCTGGGAATGAAGAAGTTTTATTCAAGTATGTTAGTATGGATGGCAAGCTTCTTGAGAAATCATTATCACCATTTCCCAGACACCTCTTCACATTGTCCAGAAGAAAACAGAACAAGGGAGGACCCACTTCTGTATCTGAGCTTTAACATATACAGCTATGTTATTATTGAAAGGTCAACCCTATAAAGGCACTATTTACATTTTATCACATACACTCATATTGCAAAAAATGAAACATGACCCTTTCCCCATTCTTCAGCAACACGCTCTTATAAATTTCAGATAAATTTAATAGATAATATGATGATAAAAACTAACAAATTTGGCCAAAAAATTACTTTCATTACTCTTTTTGGGAGGGAAGAGCCCTTTTTTACTGCTTCACTTTTTAAAAATCTCTACTTATTGGGCAGGAAAATTCAAATATAGAAAAGTACACAAATCTATAAAAGGTTCATGCAATTAATTATCACAAAGCAAGCATCTGAGTTACTACAAACCAAGGCAAGAAACAGAACCTTTGCCAGCATCCCAGAAGGCACTACCCTATTGCCCAAAAGTAACCACACTCTTAAGTTCTAATAATACAGCTTAATTTTGTCTGTTTATAAAATTTATATAAATGGAATCCTCTGAGTGGGCATTTCTGAGTATTGCTTCTTTCAATATTATATTTGCAACATTAATCCATTTTATTATTTGTGATTATGGTTCATTCCTTTTCATTGCTGTATAGAATTCCACTGTGTATAAATATACACATATATACACATATACACACACAGATGAATTTCAATTTTACTGTTTATAAACAGTTGGATTGGTTTGAGTTTGGGTTTGTTATAAATTATTTTGCTATGAACCTTTTAATATATGTCTCTTTGCTGTCCACATGCATGCCTTTCTCCTGGATGTAGACCCAGAAGAATAGCTGGGTTATGGGGTAAGTCTATGTTTAACTTTAAAAGATAATGGCAAATGGTGGGATGGATAAAAAAAATGTGGTACCTACATACAATGGAATACCATACAGTCTTAAAAAGAAAGAAGAAAATTCTGTCATTTGCAACAATGTGCATGAACCTGGAGGACATTATGTTAAATGAAATAAGCCAAGCACAGAAAGATAAACATGTACCACATGGTCTTACTTATATGTGGAATCTAAAAACGCTGAACTCGGCAGTCAGAGTCTCATTTGTAATCAGGGAAATTCAAAATAAAACCACAGGGAAATATCATTTTACTCTCATCAGAATGGCAAAAATTAGAGACTGATAATACCAACTGTTGGCAAGAATGTGGAGTAACAGTGACTTCCATATCTTGCTGGTGGGAATGTTAATTAGTACAACCACTTTGGGTTAAGAGTTTGGTATTATCAGGCAAAATAGAAGTGCCTGCAACTTCCGACCAAGATGGCAGAAGAGATGGTCCTCAGCATCACTTCTTCCCACAAATCAACCAATTTACAACTATTAAAAAGCAACGACAGCCAAGCTGGGGCCGCTAGAGCTCAGGGGAAGAGGAGGGGAGACCTACGGAGTGCATGAGGGCAGGAGAAGTAATGATGAGAGAAAGAAAGAACCACTCCAAACATTTTGAGACCTGGCCACTTCAAGGCTGGCCCTGGTGAGCACATGGAAGAAGAGCTGACAAAAGCCACAGCTGTGCCCTTTGCATGAAGTTGCTTGGAGGCCACAGGGGATTCCCCCAGGCCAGCAAGACCACTAACAAGGTTCCTGTGAAATCACATAGGAGCGAGGGGCCACACACAACTGAAAAAAGGAGCCACTCAGAGGCCAGTGAGTCTTTGCAAGGGACTGGAACATGGCCCATCCCATGGAGTGTTTGGAGTGTGGGCAGTGGGAGACAGGCCACCGGGAGAACAACGGGCCACAGCAAGGACAGCTGATCTGTCCTCCAATCAGTGCAGGACAACTCAGTGGAGACTGGTCAGGGATACAGATCTGCATGGGGTGCAGTTGGCTGAAAACTCAGGCCCAGATCAGAGTTTCCACACAACCCAGGTGTACTGGACCTCACAAGACCCAGAACTGCTTGCAAGGTCAATCATTAAGACCTGAGCAGCACAAAAAGCCTTCCCCAGGGAATCGGAAGCAGAGCAGCAATTCAGCTCAACTGCAGGGCTCAAGTGATGGCAGGAAGTTCCCCCATTTTAGAAGTAAGCAAAAGACAACAAATTAGTTCCATTACAGAGTTTAAGTGGTGGGAACAGCGAATAATCCAACACAAACTGAAAGGAAAAAGAAAAAAACAACAGATCAGAGACAAAGTTCTGATATTAACCAGTAAAAGCCTATAACACCACCAAAGAACACCTATAAAACCTAGAAGGACCAGAAGCCCCCCAGGCTCCCAAGCCGGGGTGGGGGCTGAGGACTTCAGCCACAACCCCCTGAAGCCCTCTGCCCCCATCCCTCTGAAGTCTGCATCCAGCCCAGCAATGACTGAGCCACTGCTGGAAGCTCCCTAAGCTCCCCTACCAGAATGAGACAGGTGCCATGGGCCACAATGATCCCCACGTCCTCCTTCTCTCACCCTATCCCTCTCCACTTTCCCCCTCCCCCAACTGCTCCACAACCACATCTTAGAATGTAAAATAATAATAATAGTAAATAAGTTTAAACTAATTAATTAATTAAATAGAAACGTTGAACTCATAGATGTGCATGGTAGAATAGTGGTTACCAGTGGTGAGCATGGAGGTGAGTGGGGGAGACAGGAAAAAGTGAGATGTTGGTTGAAGGATACAGTTTCAGTTTAACAGGAGGAAGAAGTTTTAGTTACCTGTTGCAAAGCGTGGCAACCGTAGTTAATAATAATTGTATATTTGAAATTATTGTATAATTGAAATACTATTGAATATTTCAAAATTGCTAAAAGAGTAGATTTTAAATGTCTTTACCACAAAAAAATGATGAGTAGGATACATTAATTAGCTTCATGTAACCATTCCACAATGTATGCAGCTATTAAAACGTCACATGTACCCTGTATATACTTTGATTATTCTTAAGAATAATTTTATTTATTAGTTACTATATAAACATATATTTCCTTCACTCAGAAACATAATGCCATGACTTTAATGCAAGGGAAATAAAATTTTGTAGTGTTCTGTATATATATGAACTTGCAATTATGCTCTGAATACTCTGAAACTTTGCATAATAAAAACATTAAATAATCTAATCATTTTAGTTCATCATAGAAGCTTATTATGAATAGGTTAGTTATAAGAAATTTCTATTTCTTACGCCAATAACATGAGAAATAAAACCCTTGATATCCAGCTTTCAAAAAAGTAGGTCACCTGGGAAGCAAGCTAAAAGACTAGAAAAAAGTATTTTTATTATTAAAGTAGGTTAGGTCTTATTCTAACTTGGTTGCAACAATGCTACTGCTTCTTTATTATCAAAAACACAGATTAATTACTGACTATCAGGAAGACAGGCTTAGCAAAAAGAAACACCTAACTTAAGGTTTCGATTATAAAAGAATTATTATTCAGCAAAACCCCAGGGTAAAATACAGTATTAACTGGAATATTACCAATGAGCAACCACAGATCACTTACTGAAGGGCTAGAATGAAATATGACTGTATATTTGTTATCTTTAAAATTGAAGAGACACTAGTCAAATGGCTGGATATTTACCAATTTTTTTTTTTTTTGTCCTTTTTGAGACCGGCCGCACCGCGGTCAGCCTGTGAGCACACTGGCCATCCCTATATAGGATCCGAACCCGCAGAGGAAGCGCCACTCCCGAGTGCGCCACGGGCTCGGCCCTAACCAAATTATAAGAAGAAACTATTTCAAGCCATTACAAGAATCATGCAATAACAATAACATAACTATAATGTATACTGAGGCCTATGATGTTTTCATGGGTTTCTTAGAAATATTTCTTCTATATAGTCATTAAGGCACATTCTTTAGAATTATATGTATAATTTAGTTTGAGTTATATACTTAATTCATGTAACCAATTTGTACTTTTAAAAGCCTATAATTAAAACTAAACTCTCTCCCCATTTAATATAAGTTGATTAGGTTTTACCATATACATAGAATCCTAAATATAACAGCATAGTTTTTACAAGGCTTAGTATTAACAGCAACAACCAAAACTATTATACTCTAAGACTTTTTTCAGAACTGCAGAGTGACAATGAAAGTTCACTCTTACTTATAAAATCATTCAATTTATCTATATCAAATCAAAGAACTTCATAAATAAAAAAAGCTAGTCAATTACTAATATTCTAAATTTATTTAAAATTTTTTAAGTAAAATTTAAATCAGTTGATAATTGTCAAATTTGTCAAAATACTCACAAAAATCACACAACTAGAAAAAGCGAGTAAGATTTGTGTTCTACTGTTTCTTGATATTTGTCCCCAAAATTCTAACCAACAAATAACATTTCATTGATGTACATGTGAAATTATTATTGAGCAATCAGTATTGTTACTACTAAAATGAAAAAAGTGTTAAGGATAAATAAAATCCCAGGCAATAAAGTAAAATTCAAAAAATAAAACCCCTGTTTTTACACAAAAAAGTTAAATAAATGTTATTATATTATTGGAGACTGAAGTTCAATATTCCTTTTGTCTCCAATCTTTCCTAAGACCAGGAACAGTGAAAGAAAAAAATATGCATTCTAGATGTTAAATGCATATGATTTAATGCATATGTTTATTTGAAAGTCCAAAAGCTTAATAAATAGTTTTTCAATCAGAAAGATGGTGAACTCTGTACATATTTTATGCC